ACGAGTGCAACTCGTACTTTAAATCCAGTTCCTGAGCAAGAAGTACGGAGCCCTGCAGCAAAGCTCGTGACAAATCAAAACGTGAAAGAGGCAATGAAAGACCATCTGATATATTTTATTAATTTTTTACGGTGTTTGAAAAGCAGACCTGGATGTATGGCAAACGGTGAAACCCAGGGGAACTAGTGTCAGAGACGATTTGAAAGCAAATGATTTGTCAGGAAGCTGGCATCCACAAAGCCGCTGCACGAATTTCCCTTCATCTACTACCTCTCTGTTTTGGTTTGTGGTTATACGTGGGTGCAGACAGGATATTTTGAGATAAAGAATTATTTGGGGGTGGATGACAATTTCAAGATAAAAGTAGAGCACAAACTACATCTTGACGAAGGGAGAGGTAAAAAGGATGTATTAAAGGATGTATAATAGCATGGGCTGGGCATCTGAAGGGGCTGATACAGCCTTTTCGTGGCAGATGCTCACTGGTCTCTGGTCCTGGGGCACCATGAGCCCTCCCCCAGGCAAGGGGGACCTGGGCTCAGGTCTAAACTGAGCCTTTGACTCACCCCCTGGTAGTCCAGGGAGCTCTCTGCTCATCCCACAGCCCTGCCTACCTGTGCTAATCCCGGTCCTAGGTCATCATCAGTGCCTGGCACTCTGGGGATGTGTGAGCAGCTGGAGAAGCCCACCCTGGCAGGGATCATTTCTGATAGAAACAATTACACCTTTTCTGCTTGTGTTTTGATTCACCCCCCTTGACTAAAATGTCCATAGCCCATCAGTTGATCCTCCTGCTTTGGTGCTGACCTGCTGTGTCATCTTTCCTCAACGTTTTCCATGCTAATTTCCATGCCTCCTGGTTTAGAATATTATGACTATGGTAAACACTCCTGGACAGCCTTCCTGGCAGAGTACTTTTGCACCCTCGTGCTGAGAAGACTCCCCAAAACCATTTCCAAACTATTTGCAAGAGTGGTACACGTAAGTCCCTACGCATGGGTATGTACATGGTTGGTACAGACTCAGCTGGGAGGCTGAGCCCTCTCTTTGGGGCTTCTGATCCCCACGATGTGGCTGGGGGAGCCCTACAGCAAGACCAGGGCTGTGTCAGCTCCACGTGAGGCAGCAGAAGACAGAGGTTGACTTGTCAGGCTGGAGTTGACAAGCAGAGAAGAAATGTTCCCTCAATGGACAACCAAGAAGGTAGAGCTTAAAGATCTCAGCGTGCATGTTATGGAAAACTTTAGGCATCTATTATCTGTTGCCATGCTTCCTCGCTTGGGATTGCCTCAGAGGTTATGAGGTAGGTTGGGCTGGGCTGGGTTAGTCATTGTCTGGTTGTAGGGGATGGAGTTTCTGCAAGAAGTGGCTTTTCACTAGATGGTGCTCTTTCCTGAGCCATGACTGTGCCTGACCCCTCTTTTTGAGCCTGGGAACTTCCAAGTGGTCTGCCTCATAAGCCCATCTTACAGGGGGAGGAGGAAGGCAAATGAGAATGTGTTTCCAGTGTTCCTGTTCTCATGTGCCTCACCCTGCTGAAGCCACACAAGAAAAACTACTGCTTTACACCCTGGTTGAAAAGAGTGTACAATGACGGTCCGTCCCATCCTCCAAAATGACTACATTGCACGAGTTTTTTTATTATTTCAGTTGATTTAAATGGAATCAACAGTGCATATTTTGGAAGACAATGCCAAGCTCACGCACAGGGTTTTCAGCAGAAAATCTTCTGCTCTGTACCCAGCATTGTCATTTCTGTTCCACCTGGAGAGAACATGGTGTATGGGAACTACCTCCAGCCTGTTCCACGCGCTCTGGCCAGCAGCTCGATCGCTTTGGAAAGTATTGGAAAGTGGTTTTGGGGCTGGTTGTTGTCAGGTGAGACTGCCCGGGTCTAGAGGGGCAAGAAACGCGTGTTAAACTCAGTGTGGTTACTGTCTTTGTAGACATGACCACCCAACCAGGTCTAGCAGGATAGATGCACTGGTGTAGGTTAAACCAAGTGGAAAGGTTGGGCCATGAGATGTACACATTTCCAAAGAGCTTCAAACAAAAACGGTAACTGAAGGCAGGTCACCACCACAACAGATCACACATCTTCCTTCCCAGGGGCCTCCTCAAACCCAGCCACAGGCGGACCACAGGCCCCTTGAACTCGTTTGCTAACGGTGGGGTTGCCGTTTCCACCGTTGTTCCAGGGCAAGGTGTGGGAATGGTATGGGAAGATGTTCCTCCATCAAACGTATGCACCCCACACAATGGAAGAGGGGAAAGGTGGTGAGGAGCAGGATGAGGCCGTGGGCCGGCTTGGTGGGGCTCAAGCTGAGGTGCTAGATTTTGTGCCGGGTACGGACCCGCAGCGTTTGGGCACGGCCTGTCGCCTTCATGGCTGGAGAGCTTGTGCCCTCACCCCTGAGAGAGCTGCCAGGGGTGGGGGGACCGCCAGAAACAGGCCCTTAGAGCTGAAATTTAGCGCGTGGGAAGGAAGTATCTCCCTCAGATAAAAACAAACCCTGAAACATACAGAGTCCCTCGCGTCCTTTCACACCAACCAGCAGACGGGTGTCCCGCAGACGACTGGGCAAACTGGGAGCGGGCCAGCGGGAGGGGCGGGCAGGTGAAGGGACCCGCGTTCCCTCAGCCCGCGGCCTTCACCCCGTCGCCCCTTCCCCTCAGCGCGGGCGCGGCGGGTAACGGCGGCGGTAAACCCCTTCCTCCGCCAACCCCACGGCCCCCCTCGCCTCAGCCCGCCGCCCCGGCCCCGCGGGCGGCCCCGCTCCGCGCATGCGGGCTGGCGGCACGGGGGCGGGCACGGCGGCGGCGCTCAGGTTGGGAGCCGGCAGCCCCCGGCCCCCCCCCCCTCCCCCCCCCCCCCCCATGACCCATGACCCCCGGTGACCCCCTGTGACCTCTGACCCCTGCCCAGGCACCGTGGTGGTCTCGGCCTACGCCGTGTGCCCCGACATCACGGCCACCGTCACCCCCGACCTCAAGTGTCCCGACGGCAAAGGTCAGTGACCTCGGGGGGGGGGGGGGGATTGGGGTGACCTCAGGGAGCCAAGAACCCCCCCATGGATTTTGGGGTCCCCCAGAACCCCTCTGTGACCCCTGAGGAGTTTTGGGGTGCCCATGAGGTTCTTTAGAGTAACCAAAGGGGGTGGTGAACATCTTGGGGTGCTTCGAACCATGGGGACATTTTGGGGTGCTGTGACCCCTGGGGGGGGGGTCAGGGTGCCTTTGGGGGTGCCGTACCCCCCCTGATGGATTTTGGGGTCCCCCCCAGGAGTTTTGGGGAGTTTCGGGGTGCCCATGGGGGGCTTTATGGGAGCCAAGGAGGGTGGTGAACATCTTGGGGTGGTGACATCTTGGGGTGCTTCAAACCATGGGGACATTTTGGGGTGCTGTGACCCCTGGGTGGGGGTCAGGGTGCCTTTGGGGGTGCTGTACGCCC